GAGAGAGAGAGAGAGAGAGAGAGAGAGAGAGAGAGAGGCGTTCGAGGCTGTCGACGCGAGACAAATTATTTTCCTCAACAACACGCGTCGATGCTTTTCACCGCGCATAACGAGTTGTTCGAGCTCCGTAGAGAGAATACAAAATGTCGTGCCCCCTCTCCCCCCCTCCCCCGTCCTCCCGCTATTTACAGCCCCCATTTCCGTGAACAGCCGTGTCGATATTTTTCCCAGCTTTACGACGGGACCGCCCCTGCGAATATTTTCGCCCTGCGAATTTCGCCCATCGCCAATGACCTCCGCGCCATCACGCTTGCCCTTCGCCCCTCCCATAATATTACATCCTCTCACGAAATTATCTCACGAAATTTCGTCAAAATTCTGATCTTTCTGGCATTTCTGGTAATTCCTGGTAATTTTGTTCGTGGGCGAACGGTATTTAACGAATGTTTTCGTTCGTGAGATAAGTTCACGAGTAACAAGTAATCGATTACCCGTGAAATAATCCTATCCACAATCTTCCCGAGTCGAAGGAATTCGAATCGAAGAATATATATCTTTATTCGACAAGGTAATATTATTTCTCAAAGGAAACAATTGTTATGAATGTTAATGGGATCATTAAAGAAAAAGCATATAACAACGTGCCATTATTATTACTTAGCTCGCGTCTGACAAGTGTAGTAAATTTAAATTTAGAGCACGGACAATTCTCACGAATAATGAAATCGTATCCGATCGAAACGATCTTGAACCGGCGTTTAACCGGTGATAATACAACCCCTTTCGAACAAGCGCGGTCAAAATTAAGGGCGTTTTAACCCGAGTTTCACGGTTTCGCGCGAATATAAGGGTGGAGGAACGGCACGTATGAGCTTCTCCCGGATACTCTTGATATTAGTTACAGTAATGTGGAAAGTTGTATCCAGCCATGAAACCCGCATAACTTTTATGCCTTGTAAACTGCTGCTGTGTTGGATCCAGGTTTCCTTGAAAACGGGCCGGTTATACGCGCGTTTGGCCCCATTCGACTCGGGCCGTAAAACGAAACTTTTTAATAATTGCGACCCCCTCCCTTCCCCATTGTCGTTTCCTTCTCTCCCTCCTCCCCGCCTTCGATTCATCGATGAATGGTGTTCGACACCCGTTCTCGCGTGACCGCGAGGCTAAAGTGCCGCTTCGAGTTAAATGCTAATGAGAGAATGAAAAATATATCTGGCCCGCTTTGAAAGCTTTTAATAATATCCCCGTGAATTCGAGCTCGGTGAATTTATCGACGTGTTCGATCTCGAGATACGATTCGGAACGAAGCCAAAATTTTTGCCAATAAAAAAAGAGAGAAAAAAAAAAAGAATCTCCTCCAACGCGTTCGAGTTGAATTGCGCGTTAAAAGAAAAAAAAAGGGATAACGCGCGACAAGATATTTCAATTTTTTTTCCCTCCGTAGGAAAAATTTGACTCCATGTGACGAAACTCTCCGACTTGATTCCGTGGGATCCTGTATAAATTTTTATACACGAGCTCGTTTCGTCGCCCGGTATATATCCTGACGACTGTGTGTAAGGGATTTTTTCGAAAACGAAATAAAAAACTGGGGGGAAAAAACACGAGCGAAAAAGTTTTTACAAATTTCGAATCCTTTGACAACGACACCGGCAAATGTGTCGGCAACGAGAGAAATAATAATAAAAGCAAAAAAGCGCTTTTTATACAGAGAACGCACAATATCCTCGACACAATTGGGCCGATATCGACGATACCCTATCCGATTGAAAATCGTCTCTCGGTTATAATACATACGGTTCGATCGACGCGACCGATTCTTGGATCATCCTTTCCCATTCGGTGCTTAACCCGTGCCCGTGCACGAACCGGTATTATCGCGTACGTATTACACACGTTTTTAATGCAACGACACGTACCGCCACCGATTTCTCTCGTATAAACTCGCGTCGCTCTCGTGTACGGTTTTAGACCCATTTTTAAAACGTTTCGAAAAATGGCGGAAAAAAAAAAGTCAATTATTATCCGTTTCGATTTCATATCGAATAGTTTTCAATGGAATTTAACGGAATTTCTCGTAAGCTAGATTACGCTAACTCGAGCGAGCGAAAGACAAGTTTTCGTGCATCGATCGAAACCTCTGATATTATAATATTGATTTAAAGTTTCCCCAATTTCAACCGGATTTCGATCGAATCTTGAAGGTCGTTGCACATCGTTTTCTAAATAGTTTAAAAGGAAACTCGTAGACAACGTGGAAAGAATGGAGAGAGAGAGAGAGAGAGAGAGAAAGGGGGATAAACGGTGGAAAATCGCGTGACGAGGAAGCGTGTCAACGGGTTACAATATTACCGTCGTTATATAAACTCAGACACGCCCAGCATTTGCATTGATGACGTGAATATAATATATCACCAGAAAGCTCGAAAGCCGAGCTTTTCCTCCAGCCAGCCACAATGGCCACACTGACCACCTGTTGCCTTTCCATTTATATTTTAGACGTGGTGAGAAACGTCATCGCCTTACGTATCCTCGTAAACATCTCAAAGGGGAACGTCTTCTCGTATTTTTGAAAAATGCTCCTGCTGCTTGTTCGACGTCAACTCGAACTCTACCGATTACAACGAAGAATAGATAATACGCGATACTCGCGAACACGATTTTCTTTCCTTCCTTTCTTTCTCGCCTCCAAATCGAAATCGGCGCGTTTGCCTCGCGGAAAGTAAACGAGCGAGAGCTTTTCGGTTAATTTTTAATAAGCGACGAGGGGAGGAGGGTGGAGACGAGGTCGTAATCCTCTTTGATAATCACGCCTGTTGTCGAAGGCGGCGTTATTATCAAATTTTCCACGCGTTATAAATTCACGGAGGGGGGATGGGATGAGAAACGCGCACGAAGAAAATGCGAGGCCCCAGAAAATTATGCGGCTTTGGCTGCGACGACGGTAATCTCTTCGCTACAACGCCGCCTCGTCTCATGGAAATTAAGGGCGGCCACGCCTCGGCTCGAGTATCCGATCTCGCGTCACAGACTTGCTCGTCATACCCACGCCAATTTACAACTTAATCCCAACACGATGAATCGCGCCACCACGATCTTTCGCTTTATCTCGCTAATTCAATTTTTCCTTCCAAATCTCCAAGACGACTTACTTGGAATCGGAAAGATTCCATCCAAGATTCGTGTCGATATTGTTTATTGTTTATCTTGTAAGAAAGTAAAACCATCTTGAAAACTTATGTGGAAAATCGTATACGATTTGTTTCAGGGTGCGTCATCCAGCTTAGTGGTAAAGTTCGCAGATACTGAGAAAGAGAGACAACTAAGACGCATGCAGCAAATGGCCGGGAACATGAGCCTCCTTAACCCTTTCAACGTCTTCAATCAGTTCGGCGCTTACGGCGCTTATGCTCAGGTGGGTCACATTACGGTTAATGGTTCTCCCCTCGCCACATTACCGGTCCCTGCTCTCGTTCTTGTTATCGCGAATCGATAATTGTTTCCATCCTGTTGTTACGAGAAATCGTTTAATTCAATTTTCCAATTCGGCTCGACAGAACAGATTTATTTCACGGATTAAAATCTTTTTAATCTACGTTTGGCCGCGTTTTCGATATAAACATTCTACTTACAGCAGCAAGCAGCCCTGATGGCTGCCGCGACAGCACAAGGCACGTACATCAATCCAATGGCAGCACTGGCACACGTTGGCGCTGGGCAACTGCCGCACGCGTTAAACGGCATGCCAAACCCTGTCGTTCCACCGACTTCCGGTACGTCTTTTTAATTATCTCTACCTAAACATCGACACTCCCCCTTTTTACCAACACGAGCAAACATATTTATTCCCGTTCCACAAAGATTAATCGAGGCTCGATTTGTTTGTTACTGTTGGATAAAAAAATATATATTCTCTGCGAGAATTTTGAAAAAAAAAGGAAAGAAAGAAGGAACGAAAGAAGGGAGGGAGGTGGATATCCGAGAAATTATTCGAAATAAATGGGACACGCGAAGAAAATATACATATACCCTCCCATGTACCCCCTTATGTACACTTTGTTGCGAAATTTCCCAGTTTCGCCGGGGCGAAACTTCTTTCTTTATCTACCCATCCCCCCGTTTATTCCTTCCCGCGGATCCCGCGGCTGCAAGAGCGCGTACAGTCCGTTGCCTTATAACCGGCTCATAAATCAATACAACATTTTCACCGAGCGTGACTCGAGCGAAAGATATTGCCGGTACCGCGAAACTTTATCGAAAGCTCGCCGAACGGGGAGGAGGAGGAGGAGGAGGAGGAGAGGAAGCCAAAGTAGCACCACCGTTCCTTCCCTTTTTCCAAACCCACCCTCCCTGCTCTTCTCCTCCACCCGGTTCCTCTCATTCGCCAACGCGTACACAAGAGGAGGGAACGAAATATAGCGCACGCGGCCAGGTAAACCGAGCGAGGAAATCGGCTCTCCACTCCACGCGCCAGAGTTGGGGCGCGCGTCGAGCCTCTCCTCGAGCGAGAAACAACACCCCACGCTCGATACGGAAAAATAATATTTTTATTCCTTCCTCCTCCCCCTCTGATCCTTCCAACTCGGCCGGCAGATCGGCGGGCTTTTATTTCCTTCGGAGACACGACGTGTTCTTCGATTCGAGGTTGGTGTTTTATCTCATCTTCGCGTGTCCCAAACAATATAAGCGTGAAATTCGAGAACGATCTTCAATTTTTCTCCGAAATTATTACTCGTTTTATATTTTAAAATAAATGAATTCGAATGATTAAAAGCTAAACTTTAGAAAACAACAAATGTTGAAGCTTAATTGCTATCGATATCATCCCAGAAACCTGCGGATCCATCCGCGGCCGGACCCTCAAACACCTCCTCGCGCGTCCCTCCAATTACACGAGCACACCGTAAATATATCGGCTTGACAAATCGGTTGACGAGGATGATGTCGAGTGAGAGGGGGAGAGAGAGAGAGAGAGAGAGGAGGAGAGAGAGAGAGAGAGAGAG